AATGTATGCTGATGACCATCAAATGTACGTCAAAGGAAGGGAACATGAAATAGTACGATGCAGAATGAAAACACAGGGCTAGAAAGCACTGTCATGGTATTCGAAAAAATTTCTACTGGCCAATCCAGACAAGTTTCAGTCTCTAACCATCAATCCACGAAAACTTGATAAAGATAAGAGCGACAAAATGCTGAGTATAAACGATCTAGCTAATGCAAACACAAAACCAATCAAACTACTAGGAGTTCATATAGATGAAAATCTCAACTTTACTTATCATATTAGCAAATTATGTACCAAGGTAAGCCAGAAAGTTCGAGTACTCTCACGTCTTCGGTACCTAATACCCTGCAAGGCCAAGCTACTATTGTATAAATCTTTTATACTGCCATATTTAACTTACTGCCATCTAACCTGACATTTTTTCAAATTATCGGACAAAAGAAAGTTAGAACGATTACAAGAACGAGCCCTAAGGGTTATTTATAAATCCCACTCTGCTACATATGAAGAACTCCTAAGGCGTGCTGATATACCCTCTTTATAGAATAGACGGCTTCAGGATACCACAGTACTTATTTACGAAGTCAAACATGGTCTTGTACCCGACTGCGTTTCTGAATTATTTGTTCGCAAAGGCTCTACATATTCGCTACGGAATGGTGACTTTGTATTACCACGTTTTGAAACTTTTTGCTATGGCAAGCACTCTGTCAGACATCTCGGGCCGTTTTTGTTGTCAAAACTCACTCAAAATCAAAGGGATTCGCGAAGTTTATGTGTTTTCATAAACAAAATAAGAAAACTGAACCTGGATGAGATTGTGGTTAATAACAGCTTTGCTGTAATCTTTGTAGTCAATAGGAATATTTTAGCTTGCTAAGCTTTGAATTTTAATCATTTTCGTGTAAATATATAATTTTTATAAGCGTATTTTAATTATAGTGTCCCCAATTAGTCTTCTTAGGCTAAACACATTGACACTTAAATAAAAGTCTTACTTACTTACTTTATTAATAAAAGGTGTTATAAATCAACAGTTCTTTACAAATGCCTCATCATAAAAAAATTACAGCCAAATTCGCGCCTCTAGTTTATTTTATAGGCGATATTTCCAAAAATTAACCGTCATAACCGTCAAATGACCTAAAATTTAACCGTCAACCGTCAAAAGGGCTTATTTTCAACTGTAAACCTCGACTTAACCCCCTCCCCTCCTATTGAGACCCTCATGGATGACCACCCATCAAATGTAGGTTATACATAACCTATCGTCATGAATATGTGTGATTACAAGACCTGTAATGTGGGATAAAGTTATAAATTAGCGGCCTAAAGATTGGTATAACAAAATAAATAGTTGTGGCACTGTTTGATATGCTTATTGCATCACGTACCACTGCACTCTTGGACCGCGCTACCAGTGAATAAACCAAAAAAAAAGCACCGTGAATATTGTTACATACATCAACTATAGGAGAAAAGATGCAAGATAAACATGGAAGACCACTCATCAAACCTAGTTCAAATGTAACTTGTCGTCATGAAGAAGTATAATCTCAAGATGTGTAGTTTGGTATAAAGGTATAAATTACATAGGAAGCTTACAGGTTGGCGTCACATATTGTATATTGGTGGAACCTTTTGCTACACTTAATGCAGCACCTACCTTTGCAGTCAAGTTTCCCTGGACAATCTGTTGGTGGAATGGATGATGTTGAGACATAAGACGTTTTAGAGATACTATTGGTATCTGAAAATTAACCAAAAAAGCATCGTTAAGATCTACTCAAATGACATAAAAGCTGTATAATCTAAAGAATGTAAAGCTAATCTTCATTAATGAAGAGTTTAGGCGCAGGAATTCCAAACTAGAATTAATAATAAGTTTTACTCACGGTTCATACACTCAATCTCCACCCAACAAGACACATCGGGACAATAAAAAGGCTCAGACACTGTAGAACTCGGTGTGGGCCATGGAGTCCAAGAGTAGCTCATTGGCGTGAAGTTTGCGCTCTGCGTGTACGTCATACTGGAACCTGATGGGGAGGGGCTCACGTGGTATGATACACTCATGGACTCTGAAGACATGCTGTGATGAACGGGGGAGGGCATTGACGCCATGCTGTACATCGCGGAAGAGGAGTTTAACGTCATGTTGTACTTCATGGAAGAAGTGGCATATTCTTTAATAAAAGAAATTAATTGTTAATGCTTTCACATGGTGGATATTACACACTTCTATTGTGAGGATTTCTATTCTTCAGTGGAATCCTGC